AGAAATTGAGGCGTTTCTGTGATGGGAAAAAGTGGTTTCCGTAACATAGTCGCCGAATATTGATACCGAGCACGTAATCCTACGTCAAATCTACGATCGTGTCTTGGATACAACCTCTTACCTTTTTACTGTTGCGAATAAGTAACGAAATTAGTTACTTATTTACTACGCCCGTGCTTTCGCTTCTAATTATCATATCACTTCTCTCGTTACAGTTTCTTTAGGTTGTAATCAAAACGAAAGCACGGTATCTCCCTAACTATAAAGAGCACTCACTATAGACAAGTGCACTCCCCAACAAACAATTCAGGGTCACAAATCACTGGCGTGCACAGGGTGGGGCAAGGTGGGCCAATTGCCCTCCTTTTATAAATAAGATTTGTATTTCCACATTTACAAAATTATGATATAAAATAACTTGATTTCTTGATAACTTGATTTGAAGGTAAAATAACTTGATTACATAATATAAGAGCACTGAAAGCCTTTTATTGTGTCAATTCTTTTGAGATGGTGCCTTAACATTTCACCACAAAAGTGTATGAAGAGAAAACTTCAACTTGTTTGAAAATGTTTGGTGAAAAATCTGGTAAGAGAAGGAGGAATTTGTATGAACTCTGTGTTCTGTAAAACTTTTCATCTCATAATGGTAAGTTTTGTAATTATCTATCGTGACAAATTTATTACCAAATGGTAGGTTTTTAGAAGCACGTTTTCGCAGAGGAGCAGCTCCACTTGCAGGTCAATTATATTAATCAAATATTTCTGAACAACTTAATTGAAGAAAATTTAGCATGTTCAATAAGAAACAAATCATTATTGGCTTTTAAGTATTACCGGCTTCTCAAATCAATATAATATATGATTTGCAAAGATTAATACTTGCTTACCATTTGATTCAACAAGACAACAAAACACCAGTCATTTAGATCGCCACAAAATCGAACTATCAGCACCATCTGACGTGACTTCAGCTGAATCCAACCAACAAGACAACAACATTCCAGCAAATGTATCATTTCGGTTAAACCCCTACTATTGCAACCATATGACGAACAGATCATTATCGACATAGTCGATGGGATTATATAGTCAATTTCCATTGGCTGTCTGAAAGCAGTTTTCATTGAAGAAGATGAACCACACACTTAGATTTTTTTCTGAGATGGGCACCACCGAGCAGCTTGGCATTTTATTTTACTGGATCTCAGTGAAAAATTTGCCGATATTCAGCAAAAATTATGTTTGTTAACTGAGATCTCAGCAAAATTCCCATTTGTTAGTTGAATCTCGGCAAGTTTTTCACTGAGATCTAGCAAAATAAAATGCCGAGCTGCTCGGTGGTGCCCATATCGGCAAAAAATCTAAGTGTGCACAACCGGGGCAAAAAAATAAAATTAGCTAAATTGAACAGTAGGGAAACAGTGGTGGATGGACAGCACCATCCACCACGCATTTTGGAGTACTCCCCATCCTCAGAGTAAATGCACCATAGAAAAAAAATTGCCCCTCCTCAACTAGATTCCTGTGCACGCTAGTGTCACAAATAAAATTACATTATGAATAAATCCACATTGAGATCGATAGATGCGCTTTTATTCCGCTGTTTGCTCTGATATGATTAATTTACTAATTAAAAGCTGTATAAACGTTGACTTTATTTCTGATTCAACACCAGAAGTTTGAGCTAATAACAAACTGAATAAGTGTAATTTGCACATAAATTTAAGCTTTAATTCGACTGTTTTCAATTGATTTAATAATACGCTTTATTAGACGTCTAATAATTGTTTTCTAGCTCCATTATTAAATTGCATTGCATTGCTTTACAATATTGCTGAATAAAGGTGAATACAGTCAGCATAATAGCTCTTATACCACTATACGTCCATGTTTTAATTGAATGCTTTGTAAATGCTTTACAAACGACGTATTCATTCATTATTCCACAACACTGTTTCAGGCTAACAACAAGACGAAATTAAAAACATAGTGGTTACCGTTTCCGCTTTCCAAGTAGAAGGTCGTTCAGTCCCAACGTCAGCCCTTTTTTTATTTTTGTTCTACGCCTAATTAATTTAAATCTTTATTATCGATAACATCACTAACGGCAACGAATTTATCGATCTAGTGAAAAGAATAGCCCAGAATCCATTCGATGGAAATTGGAGAGGTGAAGAAGTAACTAACATTGGTCTCACCTAAAACAACGATGAATGAATTAATCATTCCCACAACTCCTTGAAGTAAGTAGCTAAAGTTGCGATCGGGAGTTCTGATAGGTATTCAGATGTTTAGGTGGACTACGTTTTAGTTGGGCTCGGGCTGTAGCCCACCTAAATCGAAGTCAAAGTCATTTTTGACAGTGCTATTTTTTTTCGAGGGGCTCATGTATGAACAATTAGGAAAGTTACTGTGATGATAATAAACAATCGCTGTATCCCTCAACCAATTCTTAGCTTGACAGCTCAGCCCAACTAACAAAAGTCTTTCACTAAGTGGGCTACAGGGTTAGCCCAACGAGCGAAAAGTGACTGTGGCAGAGCAATTTTTTTTTTTCCTTTTCGGGTGCGTCTAGTGAAGATTGGCATAACAAAAAATCCTTAATGCCTTGGTAAATGTAGGTATCTATCTTCACAAGAGCACGTGAGCATTCACAAGGCGGCCCAAATAAAATAAAACTGTTTGTCTGATTGTCTACAATTAAGGGCACTGATTGGTTGTATAGCAGAAACGATATTGATATTTCTGCACCCAGTTTGTTTTGATTTAAACAAAAACAAATTGGTTTAGGAACTGATTACTCATGGAGTAACCATGAGTAACCTGAGTAGAAGTATCGATATAAACCAGTGATGGAAAAGTTCGCAATAACTCACTATGACTCGCGAACTTTTCCCATGGTGAACTTCGTTAAATATTGCGAACTTTTCCAACACTGATATAAACAGAGTGCGATACATAGAAGGCCTCCCTTAGCTCAGTCGGTAAAGGCGCAGCTACAAAGCAAGACCATGCTGGAGGTGGCTGGGTTCGATTCCCGGTCCGGTCTAGGAATTTTTCGGGTTGGAAAATTTCTCGACTTCCCTGGGCATAGAAGTATGATTGGACTTGCCACACAATAATACTAATGCAAAAATGGTACAGGCATCAAAAGCTCTCAATTAATAACTGTGGAAGTGCATCTAGAACACTAAGTTGAGAGCACGCAATAAGCTAATATGCGATATGCAATAAGCTTGAAATGCGAAGAAGAAGAAGAAGAAGAAGCGATACATAGAAAAATACATGAATCGCTGAATTCATCAAGTTACAGAAAATAAAGAGTTGTGGAGAGTTGACTGTACTTTTTTTATGCCATGTTTAGTTTGAAATTAGACGGGAAAGTTGTTGAGTGACGATTAAAATTGAATTGCATGACAATCAGCGTCAAACCAGTGTAGAATATAGTCGCTATATTCAAAATGCTGGACCCATTTCAATATATTTTAGACCAACAATTGAAAAGGTACTATCAACTTTTAAAACAAAACGTTTATTATTCTTTCCTCGTCAATCGAACGCAAATTACCGGCATCATCGGATAGGGGAAACTTTCCTCAACCCAAAGATGGTGTTAGTTTGCGTAGGCGAGCCTTGAGTCACGAGAAAAGAGTTTCCGAAGTTTTGTTCGCAATAGCTGTGCTCTATTCTGTTGTTGGTCGTTATTTGCTCGATTGGTTCCGCTATTTGACAGATCAATTGGCTCCCGAGATTCTATCCGCCAGACTATGAATATAGCAACTATAGTATAGAATCGTCCAACATTGACCAGGTTCGCTGCTTGATACTCGTAGAAGTCTCTAACAATTGCCGTATGTACATTTATTTTCATTCCACCATTGATTTCGACTTCAATGGAGAACACCAGTAGCCCACCCCACCGCGCTTTTAATTCTACGAAGGAGACGCCGGATAGTTTATTAAAAAAATCATGCAAAGTTGAAATCATCACCAAAATTTGAACAAACGAACACAAGAATTCAAAGACTATTAACATTCCATATGTTTTACAACGCTATTCCAGAGTCCACTTTTCTACAGCTGTCCTCCAAATGTTATGTGTGTGTGTGTATATGTGTGTTTGTTTTCGAAACTCTCCACTAACCAACTCGTGTGTATCGGACTAACAACAACCCCCAATTCCAATTGCCCCCGTTTCCTTCCAGCGATGCATCCTTTTTCAATCCCACCAATGAATCTCAAGCTCAAGCCTTAGCCAACCGTAGTTCCCTCAGTTGTACAGCATCATCCGCCGTGGGTCGGGACAGCAAACTGTCGTCTCTCCACACCGTCCCAAGCTTCGATACGTACGAGGAGTTCTTCTACTACTACGAAAAACAGGACCAATTGAAACCAAAAGAATTCGACTATCATGCTGGGGAAGGTTTCCAGGACGTTATCGAAGGCGAAGAACTGGAAATTCCATTTACCAATACGATTAGGATGCACAAGATTAGCCAACTGGAAAAGCGCGGTTCCAAACGGGGTAGTCGAGGAACCTACGGAGACGGGGACGGGGAGGAGGATTTTGTGCCTCCGTTCTACGATTCCAACGAGTTACGCCCGATTGTGGCTGCTAGTGGTGGTGGTAGTGGTTTCGGAGAAGGCCCTGGTGGAAGTTCGGCTCGTAAGAAAGGTTCCCGAATACCGAAGAAAGTTGCTAGAGATAGAAGTTTGCACCTGCTGCACGGTAGAAGTCTCGAGTCACATCAACTACAGGACGAACTCGAGACTAACGGCGGCAGTGGTAGTGGTAGTGGTGGCACTAGCCAACAGCAACAGATGCTTTCTAGACGGTTCTGTGTGGAACGGGTAGAGTGCTTTGACCTGGCACGCGATCGGAACGAAATCATCCAGTACCATGATAAACCTAGCTCGTAAATGTTTGATTGATATTTTTTTCATGTGTGTTTTTCTCTTCTTTCTTCCTATCTCTCTTGCATGGAATTTCTTTACAGTGGGTTCACGCCGGACAGATACGATCCATTTATATCTGCCAAGAGGCAGCTGGAGGAACTATTCTCAGCATCTTCCGGCTACAATGCCTCGACTCCACGACAGCAGCAGAACAACAGTCGATCGACGACTCCCCTGACTCCGACAGCTAACTGTATGAGCAAATCCGTCGTTACACCGACAACCAAAACATCTCCGGTCGTCAACTCCAACTTTAGACGTGCGTCATCGTTGCGGATGCCCCGAAAGGTATCCCGGCCAATGTTCATAGAGAAAGCTAAGTCAAACATCCAGAAGGGCATCACCGACGATGGGCCGGTTTCTCCAAACTTCCTAAAGTCCTCCGAGTACGATGAGATCCCAATCAAGTCGGCTTTCAACGCGCTACAAATGGCAGAGAAACCGAAAATGCGCGATTCCAGTACGACGCGAAAGAATCTCAAACTAGACATTAAAGATCCGAACATGCCGGCCACGGATGTTCCTCTGTCGAAAACGGACTCGTTAGCCGTATTCTTGAAGTACGAACACGAACTTAACCTGGCAGCGATGAGCGAGAAAGACATGAAAGATAAGAGCAATAGCTTGAGTAAACGGTCTTTGTCGCTGGGCGGTCAGGAGCGGAAGGAATCGATGCTCTACGGAGGTGTTACCGGTAATGGGTTAAAAAACGATCGATCGCCTCAAGATGAAAAGGACAAAGCGGAGAAGATCCTCCAAAATATACAACCATTCAAAAAGCTTCCACAAAAGCTTATTCCGATTAAGCTAGAGCCTATTAACATAACCTACAGTAACAATAACAGTAGTCAAAAGACTATTAACAATGTCAACAATAGCAGTAAGAGTAACAATATCACTAAGAACAATAACAACAACATCAACAGTAGCAACATCGGCACAAGTAAACCGGCTGTAATATCACTGGATGCGATTCTTGGTAAAAAGCCCAAACCTCCCCCTCCTCCACCTCCACAGGAAGAGAAGGAGAACCGCAAGGATCCTAACTATATCGATCCAAAGCTTATCAACAAATGTGACAACCTTCCAATAGTAGCTACCAAGCTATCGTCCTCCGAATCGGAGTGCAGTGCAAGTACGATCGAACTGTCAAAGAAACCAACCGATTCAAACCGGCTAGCCGAATCTTCCAACAGTTCACCGGAAAATTCAGGCGGTGAGACTGGTGGTGTTGACGGCGGAGTTCAACAGCCGATCCTAGACAAAAAACTCACAAACGACAGTACAAACGACGACTCCTACGACACAAGACCGACGTTAACCAGACAGAACGGCACGGCCACCTGTAGCAGTAGCAGCAGTAGAGATAGCAGCCGCGAAGAAAGCCCAGTAGAACAACAGCTGCGTAGTCCACTGGCACGAAACCAAAGTCATCTTGATGATACCAAACCCCAGACACCGGACTCGGGCTTGGAGCGAACCACTCCAAAGCCCTCCACCCCGATACCGGTCCAGAAGAAACCGGAGCGGCCACCTCTGCCGTCGTTCGATGACTTTGACTTTGACGAATTCATTTCCTCCTTCGAAGACGAAAGACGATCTTTCAAAAATGCCCTCTACGCCCGTAGTACCAACTCTAACTGCATCACCAGTAGTAGTAATAGTACCAGTTTCATTCAGCATACCAACAGTAGTGTTTTGGATAATAGTGTGAAGAGTGTTACTAGTTTGAACGGTAGTGTTAGTAGTACCAGTAGTCCTAGCCATGTCAATTCTTCAAACAGTCCCCACTACAACAGTATCAATACCAATGGTAGATCTGATGAAACACAGACGACGACTCACCAACCGAAGGAACCGCCTCAAGTGCCACGACGTCGACACATCGGAGAGCTGAATCATACCCCGTCACACAGCACAATACGAAATCTTCCAAGCCTTCAGGGCAGCAGCGTAACCAAACCAGCGGCACCAACACCCACAGATCCGAGGTCTCCGAAGGCAACCCACGCTTTCGGACCAACTAACGATAACATCAATAACAACAGTAGTCCGCTTCCGCGGGACACCCCATCTTCGTCGCGCCTTGGTAGTGGTAATAGTTTTAATCATCACCATCAGCCATACCAACATCATCATCAACAACAACAACATCAGCCATCAACAGCGAACCACACGAACAGCAACAACAACAACAACACGATTTCAGCACACCTGGTCCCACAGCCATACACAGCTACAGTTACAAACGCGGGATCGCCACTGTTCGATTACCACGGCATCAGTCGGCACCAGTCTCCACTGTCCAACGCCAACAATGGCAGCAATGGCAGTGGAATTGGTGGGCCTGCTAGTGGTGGTGGGGGCGGTGGTATCATATTCGACGATCTCTCTCCGACAGAGCGGGACCTGATGAAGAGCGTCCAGGAGCTGGATCGGATGTGCGAGTCGTCATCCTCGATGTATCCGGCCGACTCGGACGAGATGTCGAGCGTGGAGGGCTACCCGCTGTCCAATTCGCCGAGGGACCACGGAAGTGCACGGCACCATCATCACCGATCGGATCGACCGTCAGCCGAGGGATCCAAGTTCAGTGCCGATTCGGCCTATGGCAGGTGGGTACTAGACTTTTATTGACTTGGGGGGAATTAGCTTGGGTGTCGTTTTCTTTTTTCTTCTGGTGGTTGTTCACGGATTAGAGTGCACAGTTACGGTCGATTGATGGTGAGCGAATAGTGGATGTTCCATTGTGCAGCAGAGAAGTTGCTTTCAAACAAATAAGTATGATACAACTGGTCAAATCGCAAATTTCGAAAATGTCATTTCAAGTCTTTTTTGCGAGATTCAAAATACCCAAATTTTATGACAAATGTGAATAATTAACCATAACAAACAATTCTAGATAGAGCTGGAATTAGAGCGTAACAGCTTTTGTAAACAACGACTTCTATCGATGATTTCTAGAAAGTTAAGGCTTACCAACGCAAATCAAGAACACCATCGGGTAGGGGAAGACTTCCCCTACCCGACGGTTATGTTTGTTTGCGTGGGCGTGCCTTGATTTCTTAGAAATTATCGATAGAAGTAATTGTTTGCAAAGGCTGTTACGCCCTAATTCCAGCTCTATCTAGAATTATGCAAAGTTTCATACGCATCGCAGAAGGTCGAGTCAGATCGCCATTACATTTATTTCTATTGATTGTGATTGTACATTGATTTGGCATTTCAATTGATTGATTGAGCCTGCCTGGCTATTTGTCTTTGGATATTCTAATTTAATATTTCTCGATTACTTTTTCAAAGGGACGTATCAGCTTTTGTAAATTATGCATTTGATCGTCAATTTGGCGTAACTGGTAGTTTGCACACGTTTACTAACACCACTAGCAGGTAGGACAAAAAATCCCTATCTGATGGTAGTGAGAGCATGCGTGGGAGAGCTACCAGTTACGCCAAATCGACGATCAAATGCATTGTTTACAAAGGCTGATATGTCCCTTTGAAAAAGTAATCGAGATTAGCGTTTTTCATCTAATTTACAGAATACCCCTTGGGAGGGTGTGGACGTAAATCATGGAACGTAAACAAACGAACAAGAGCCGCTTACATATGTCGGTCTCAGGGAACCGAAATTTACACGACTTTTTCGTAGTTTGTAGCCACGAGTATAACTTAACCTAACGTGCTAGATCGCGTATGATCTGATGTTCTGATATCTGACAGGTGTATCTGAACCTTTCCAAGCAGACCGTTCTTTGCTCTTCGAGAGACTGAAGCCCAGCCAGCCGGTGGACCTCAGAATTTCGCGTCCGTGGAGGACTGTTTATGATCATCCTAAGGATCTTGTTCTGGATCCTTTGGAGTTTAAGGTAATGGCATTTGGCGCATCTCCCCCAGATTGGCATACCGTATTCGATTTCGAGAATAATGATTTGCTTGTAAGCAGCAAGCTTATTTTTCAGAGACAGGATGGACTTCCTGTTGATAAGTGGATACAATGATTTTATCAAGATGTTGCACTTGGTTTTCGTTTTGTCAACGTGATCCCTGAAAAGCAGCCCACTGTCAATAGTCAGTCCAAGGTAGATTTCCTCTTCAGACCATTCCACCACTGTGCCGTTTAGGCAGATTTTATTATTCTCAGACGGAACAAATCTGGGAGATTTTGAGTGTGGAAAAATTATGACCTGGGTCTACGCTACGTTGATACGGATCTTCAAGTTGTTGCAATACTCAGACAGGACATCCAAGCCTCTCTGGAAATTGGTAGTCAGAGCTCCGATGACCCTACCTTTGTAGACGTCGTCTGCGAACAGAGACAACGATCCACCAGGTGAATAGATTGAACAGGATGGACCCAAGGATACTTCCTTGAGGCACACCTGCACCGATGTTGAAGGCATCCGATGTGATGCCATTCAGAGAGATCTGGAACGTCCTGTTTGATAGATAATTTTGTATGATCTTCACGAGGAAGACCGGAAGACCATATCGATGCAACTTGTACACCAGGCATTCAAACGCAGATGTTTTACAAACAGCCTTGTTCTGTGTAGGAATGTTTGTTACTCGAGTCAGTTGGTGGACGGTCGATCGACCTTTTCGAAAACCAAACTGCTCCTCGAGAAAGATATTGTTTTCTTCGGCAGATGTTAGAAGCCGGCTGTAAACTGCCCTTTCGAATAGCTTGGATAAGAGAAGGCTGATGGTTCGGTAACTTGAAGGAGAGGAAGGATCCTTCCCAGGTTTCCGGATGGGTATGACTTTAGCTAACATCCATCACAAGGAGAAGTAGCCTAGTCGGAGGCACTGATTGAAAATCAGTGCTAGATGGTTGAAGAATCCAGATTGAAGATGTTGTCGAAACCTGGAGCCTTCATATTTTTGGATGATTTGATATAGGCCAACAGTTCGTCAACTGTGATCTTGGATTCTTCAGGAAAGATGTTGGCAATCTGATAGAGGTTTCCTACCTTTTCAGCAACCGCAGCCTCGTGTGGACTGTCCAAGATTGTGGGAGCTGACGAAGTGTTGACCTATCACTGCAGCCTTCTCTACAGGGGTTATCAGATGAATCACTGAATCATCGGAACGATTCCGTGCTGGTGGTGGAATGGGCTAATCTGGGAGAGCCCGGATCTTACTAGCAAAGTCGTTGTTTCTGAGATCCATCATCCTGGCTTGGATAATTGGTCTTATGGTCAGGCAAACCAGAGTGTTGGTACTGCCTTCGGATGGTATTAGATAGTCTTATAAGGTCTTTGGTAGGGCTGTCAAGGTTTAAAGTGTTACTTACCTGTCTGCATTCTGGCACGTGTTGTTCCCTGGGCCGGGATATTGCCTCCTCGATGGATTGTAGACACCGGTCAACGTCTTCGGACGTCTCTGGTTGGACATCGTAGTCGACGCAGTGTTGATATTGATCCCATTTGACACGTGGTAGTTGCGCCGTGAATCTTATAATCGATTCACAGAGGAACCAACTTCGGCCACCACCGGATAATGGTCCGAGCTGAGTTCCTGGTAGGTGATAGGTTGAGAGATGTTGTTGCCCATGTTGCTGATGAAGATATCGATGGTAGCGTGAACACCGGACCGACTCAACCGGGTGAGAGTGTCCGGACTCAAGATGTTGTGCTGCGCTTCCTGCAGGTCGTTGTTCAGGATGGTGCCGTTTTGATTGCGCCGACTGTTGCCCCAAGATTTATATTTTTTTTTTTTTAATTACTTTATTTGTACAGGCTCAATCGAATAAACTTTACAGAGCCGAGTTATCCTTTGCGTTATACATTATTACTGTCTTAAATTTAAAGTTAAAGGAACTGGACCGAGTACTCGCGGTTGTCTCGAGGTTAGTGGAGATTTACAATTTTTTGGATGGGAAAAGGGAAGAAGGAGGTTTGAAATGTGGTTTACGATACAACTATTTAATTAATCCTAAAGCATGAAATTATTTCTATTCATCTTGAAAACAAACATTGAAAAAAAAACCCACACGTACAAAATACAAACTAAACACAAGGTTAATCAAACTTACAATCTAAGGTTAATATCCTTAAAGTAAACATATATGAGTTTCATAAACTCCAGATCGCGTCTAGCCAAAATATCCCGAACTGGAACATTAGGTTGTCTACCTCGAGCCCGAAGGGAATCATAAAAATGTGATCTGACTCCACGATACTCCGCACAAGACCAAAGGATGTGATCAGCGTCCTGGTAACCTTGTCCACATTCACAGAGATTGCTGTCTCCCAACCCCACACGGAACAAGTGAGCGTTTAGACAATAGTGATTGGACATGAGACGAGACATCACGCGTATGAAGTCTCGACTCAAGTCCAACCCTTTGAACCATGCAAACTTCGACACCTTAGGGATAATTGAATGTAGCCATCGTCCCAAGCTCCCTTCACTCCATTGATGTTGCCAGCTAACGAGCGACTGCTGACGATAAATAGAGAAAAATTCACTATAGGCGATCTGTCGATCATAAATGTCGCCTTCCATAGCGCCCACCTTCGCAAGTGAATCCGCCTTCTCATTGCCCAAAATTGAGCAATGCGAAGGGACCCACGCGAAGGTGATGATGAAAGAGCGCACGGATAAAGTACTAAGCAGTTCTCGTATTTTCAAGAGAAAATACGAGAAGTGCTTTACCGGCCTAATGGAACGGATAGCCTCGACAGAACTGAGACTATCCGTAAAAATAAAGTAGTGGTGTGGAAGAAGTGAAGCAATAGTTTCCAAAGTGTAGTGAATTGCTGCCAGTTCAGCCACATACACAGAACAAGGAGCTTCAAGTTTTCGAGAGGCGCTATGAAATTCATTAAATACACCAAAACCAGCGGACTCCTCTATTAGAGATCCATCTGTGAAAAACGTTCTTGCAGAATCAACATGGCCAAACTTTGCAGCGTATAATGACGGAGCAATCATAGGACGATGATGCTCTGGAATTCCGCGGATTTCCTGCGTCATAGATAAATCAAAATTCACTGAATTGCCAAAATCGGAGAAGACTACACGATTGGGAATATTTCTTGAAGGGCTGACATCCTGTGTTAAATATAGGTAGTACAAAGTCATAAAACATTTTTGAGGATTTAGCTCCAGAAGCTTCTCAAAATTTGCAATCACCAGTGGGTTCATTACTTCGCAACGGGTGAGGAGCCTCAGAGATAACTCTGAAAAACGGACGGATAGTGGCAACATGCCTGCCAGCACTTCGAGACTCATAGTATGAGTCGAGTGCATGCATCCTAACGCGATACGAAGACAACGATACTGGATCCGTTCCAGCTTGATGATGTGCGTTTTAGCTGCCGACTGGAAGCAAAAACTGCCGTACTCTAAAACCGATAAAATCGTTGTCCGGTACAACGTCAGAAGATCTTGTGGATGGGCTCCCCACCACGTTCCGGTAATTGATCGAAGGAAATTGATCCTTAGTTGGCATTTTCTTCTCAGATACTCAATGTGGGATCTCCAGGTGCATTTGGAATCGAACCAGACCCCGAGATATTTAAAAGACATGGAATGAGTGATCGGTTTACCCAAAAGTTGAAGCTTCGGTTGTGCTGGGCTATGCTTCCTAGAAAAAACGACCAACTCA